ATGTGTCCCAGCATCCATATACCAGAATGTCATCAGATACCACTCTGATCCCTGCTAGTCCTGTTAGTATGTCTTGCTGGCAGTGTTGATATTCTTTTGCTTCAGGTTTGATCCCAAATGGCATTCTCAAATGTCTGTTTTTGTTTCCCTTCCTTCTTTTTCCCACTCCTTTACTTATTTCCCCATTCCTCACCTCCCTCTAACCTTAACTTAAAACTAAAACCAACAATAGTAATAATACATATAACAAACAAAGCTTTGCCAGTTCTTCACCCTGTGTTTGCACTTACATGTTATACCCTCATCCTCCACCCTTGAATTCAGTGGGACTACTCACTTTTTACAAGTATTTGCAGGATCAGGGGTTTATGATGCCACAGTTAGGGGAAGGATGCAGTAAATAGCCAGTTACAGAATGAAAGAGAAAAAATCAAAAACAAATAGAAATAAAGTGAGAAAAAGTACAAAGAAATGTGTATGTGCTTGGCTGTGTTTTATGTCTCTATTCTCCCTAGCATTAAGCAGCTTGACAGATATGGTCAGCTGATCCTTGCAAATTCTACTGCAGCAGACACTGGTGAATATAGCTGCTGGCTTCTTCTGTGTAATGGCTCTAGCTGCAAGAAGGATGAGTCTAAAACAGGCTCAACATACATCTTTTTCACAGGTAATGGATTCATTGGGTTTATAAACTGAATTGCCTGGATTGTCTGTCCATAGGGCAGGATTAGCATATTCATTTCCATTTTCCTATCCATATCCATTTCATGATCTGTATCCAGACATTGTTCCCTAGTGGTTTCCAAGGGATACATTACTGGTGGAGTGAGCAGGAAATTAAGCAAATAATTAACAATAATGTGATTTATGTGTCTACTTCCCTGTGCTTTACTCTAAATATATACCCAAAATCATGTCTAGGGAAGCAGAAAGTGGATAGTTTGCGAAAATCAGATACAATATTCTAATGTTAGAATCTGCAATAAAACTTAAACAATGCAGGAGTCCATCCCTCTTGTTTTATTTCCTTCTGAAAAAAACATCTGTGGGAGAAAATAAAGTAACATGTTAAGATGCATCTTCTCATGACATTCTAATGCAAATACACTTTACCCCCATGCATATTATATTCCCAGGGTGGAATCCTGGCCCCATTGAAGTCAGGATTTCATGCAAGTTTTTTGCATCTCACACATTAGCCTTATAAGATGCAGAGCCGCTACTGTAAATATATGTACTAGCCCACAAAGCTTGAAGTTGATCGCTGCCCTAGTCCTTAGATATTTATAGTTTTTATTAGGGCTGTTGATTAATTGCAGTTAACTCATGTGATTAACTCAAAAAACTAATTGTGATTAAAAAAAATTAATAGCAATTAATCGGCGTTTACTGGCACTGTTAAACAATAGAATACCAATTGAAATGTATTAAATATTTTGGATGTTTTTCTACATTGTCACATATATTGTATTGTGTTGTAATTGAAATCAAAGTGTATATTATTTTTTATTACAAATATTTGCATTGTAAAAATGATAAACAAAAGAAATCGTATTTTTCAATTCACCTCATACAAGTACTGCAATCTCTTTGTCGTGAAAGTGTAAGTTACAAATGTAGATTTTTGTTGTTGTTACATAACTGCACTCAAAAACAAAACAATGTAAAACTTCAGAGCCTAGAAGTCCACTCAATCCTATTTCTTTTTCAGCCAATTACTAAGACAAACAAGTTTGTTTACATTTACAAGAGATAATGCTGCCCGCTTCTTATTTAAAATGTCTCAGAAAGTGAGGACAGGCATTTGCATTGCACTTTTGTAGCCGGTATTGCAAGGTATTTACATGCTATATATGCTAAACATTGGTTTGCCTCTTCATGCTTCGGCCACCATTACAGAGGACATGCTGCCATGCTGTTGACACTCGTTAAAAAAATAATTCGTTAATTAAATTTGTGACTGAACTCCTTGGGGAAAAATTGTATGTCCCCTGCTCTGTTTTACCTGCATTCTGCCATATATTTTATATTATAGCAGTGCCCCAGCACATGTTCATTCTAAGAACACTTTCTCTGGAGATTTGACAAAACTCAAAGAAGGTACCAATGTGAGATTTCTAAAGATAGATGCAGCACTCGACCCAAGGTTTAAGAATCTCAAGTGACGTCCAAAATCTGAGAGGGATGTGGTATGGAGCATGCTTTCAGAAGTCTTAAAAGAGCATCACCCCAATGCGGAAACTACAGAACCTGAACCACTAAAAAAGAAAATCTATCTTCTGCTGGTGGCATCTGACTCAGATAATGAAAATGAACATGTGTCTGTCCTCACTGCTTTGGATTGCTATTGAGCAGAACCCGTCATCAGCATGGATGCATGTCCCCTGGAATGGGGGAATACAGTGCAAATACTTGTAATAAATAAATAAATAAATAAATATAAAGTGAGCACTGTACACTTTTTGTATTCTGTGTTGTAATTGAAATGAATATATTTGAAAATGTAGAAAACATCCAAAATATTTAAATAAATGGTATTCTATTATTAACAGTGCGATTAATTGCGATTATTTTTTTTAATCGCTTGACAGCCCTAGTTTTTATGCAAGTCAAATAACAATCTAGTGTTATTACCTAGTACACTATTGGTGATTAAAGCAAATGGTTAATTTGTTCTTCTAATGGAAAACATTAGGAATGATAAAAACAAACTTTGCAGCCTGATTAGAGCTAAACCGTTTTTGGCTGGCAAATGCTTCAGTGTTACAGCATAAGATGACTAAGATAAGATTGTTTGTAATAAGGTTCAGAAATAAGTTGGAGCCATGGGATTGTATGGAAGCCATTTATCGAAACAACCTTGGAACACTGACTTCTCTTTCTTTTCAAAAGGTTGGAATAATCAGATAAGCCACCTTAAAACATACAGTGTTCAGGCTGGAAATATTAAGGCGTTTAAAAATTGCATTTATAAGCAATATGTCTACATATTAGAATATTGCTTGTTTTTGTTGACCTAACAGCACTAAAATGTTTGAATTGTTTAGTTACTTAATTGTTTTTAAACTCTATGTATTTCACAGTCTGTATCTACAATCTTAGGTATTTCCAAGGGACCTTCCAGCTGGTACCCAAGCACGATACAAAATCAAATACTGTCAGAGGCCATAATAAAACTCCTGGTGTTTTTCTACTTTCCCCTTTGAAAAAGGGTGGATGAATTTAAGTAGAGCCAGATAACTCATTAGGACATTTTGTGAAAGTCTGCATTGTTTCAAAAGCTGATCCCAAAATTGGTGGTGGTCTTTATTTTTATTTTTAAATTTTTTAAGATACAATCCCTCTCCCCAGTTTATGAAACAGGCAAAGAAGGCTACATTTATGTTTTTAAATTTAGTGATTAAAGCCAAACTGAATATTAGTTTGTCCAAGTCAAACATGTTTTTACTTTTTTAAAAAACTAGTCCATGGTGACAGATTTAATTAATTGTAAAGAATGTTAAAATGATTGTTGCCAGATACTGTGGACACAGAAATAAATTATTGCTAATGCAAAATCTGAACTTAATCATCATTAGTAAATTTCTCCTCCCTTACATTCATTTTTTATATTTTACATTTACATTTATATTTATTTTTTTCTTAAATAAAATTTATAGACCTCTTTAGCTAAATATTATATTGCATTACCTTCTTATATAGATAAAGGGGAGCTCTTTGTACCTACTTCCAGTTATTTCGAGATTGTCTACCTGAACCCAGATAAACCAGCAGTAATCCCTTGCAGAGTGACCATCCCATCAGCAAAAGTAACTCTGCACAGGGAGTTTCCAGCAGAAGAAATCAAAACAGATGGAACTAATATTATCTATGATGTGAAGAAGGGTTTTATTTATCAACACCCCACCTCTGACCACAAAGGAGTGGTCTATTGTAGAGCAGAATCACGGGGAGCACCTCAGATTTCTATCAAGTATCAGTTACTGTATGTGGAAGGTAAGATGAATGATTTCCATAGATTTACGTTCAAGCCCATTTCTCTTGCTGGAGTTGCTTATGGGGCAAGACTTCAAATATGAATTTGAAAAAACAAACAGACCCTAATTGTAATTATGGAATTTTGCAAATTCAGTCTGATTTTTTAAAATAAAAATGTACTTTTCAAATTAAATCTGTTTGTAGAACATCTTGCCAGAATTTATGCTAATATAGGAAAGCATAAGGCTTATACTATTAAGTTAAAAACTAGGTGCACACTGGTAAACCATTTTATTATGGCTGGATAGGAACCTGTGGTGCATAATAAATTCAAACAACAATTGGAGCTAAAGAGAATAATGGAGAATGGGAAAGAGCCCAGATAAATCAAAGCAAAATTTGCCCACAGATAGTTTTTGTTTTTGTTTTTTTGTTAAAGTTTGTATTGATTTTTGGACATTTATTTCCTGCCTCCCACCCACATCTTTCATTCAGTTCCTAGTGGTCCACCATCAACAACAATTGTGGCATCATCCAACAAAGCAGAAGGTGGTGACAATGTTAATGTTCTTTGTATAGTCCTTGGGGAGCCAGACGTAGAAGTAGAATTCAATTGGAAGTACCCAGGGGAAGAGGTAAGACACACAATTCTAACTTGGAGGTGCATTTTTTCTTAATAAGAGTAAACTCTCACAATACAACATTTTAAATACCAGTCAGTATTTTCTAGCTGAGTAAGGCAAGGTGGATCAGAGTGCATTGTCCGGCTCTCGGGTAGCAAGGTCACATCAGGAGGAAGCAACACACTATCTGGTTGATTTTTCAGCCCATTTTCCTCACTGAGGGCCTGAAGTTACTTGTAAAAATGCTCTCTAACCTGAGAGCTGTATCTGGGCTAGCAAAAACAAGCTGGGTGAGGTATGATGGGAAACAGTGAATGCTTACCAGGCCACCAGCTTCTCTCAGACAAGAAGTGATTCATCCCTGGCTTAAGAAATTCTCTTGATGATGACAGTCATCATTCTCCTTTGGGGAAAAATTAAGATATGGTGAAGCATAGTTGCATTGAGAGCTCTTTGCTATTCTTGGTCTGTTGTATTGGACTATATTAAATGCTTCTATGAGGGGCTACCATTGAAGGGCCATTTGGAAACTTTTGTGCCAGTTGGGGGGGGTGGTGGTGGTGGTTCTCTCGTGGAGCCTATTACATGTTTGTGCCATTTACTGCGAGGTTCCATTCAACAAACTTACTCTGATCTCTGTAGTCCTAAGCATTGGAGGCTATTTATGTTATCAGTAAGTACTCTTCCCCTTCTGAGAGTTGACAATAGCTTTACACTTGCAAACCTGCCTTTGGTTTGAACTTCAGGTTGCAGGATGTTCTGGCAATAATTTCTTCCACTGATCTCACCATGCTGGCCATGAGGTCAAGGAGTTAAATGCAGTTGGTACATAATTGTAAATAATACTGATGCATGATCAGTATGTGATGAATTTAAGCTTCTATAAGGAAAAATAAAAGTTCTCCAAAGAAAACATCCTAAATATATTCAGCTTCAGTGCTAGACATAGTTTGCAGATTGACAAATACATGAATTTATCACTCTTGCTGTATATGGACAGTTGTGGTCAGCATGCATCCATGTATATACTGCAACAAACAATTTTGCTTACAGCAGTTATACCTGGAGCTGGAAGGGAACAATCCTGTTGTCAGTTTTCTGCCCAAGCAGAATTAATATTATGGATGTGTCTCAGTAGCTCTTATGATTTAGGTTGCATTGAGTTTTACACTTATAACTTTAAAGTGCCACCAGACTCCTTGTTGTTTTTGTAGATACAGACTAACACGGCTACCCCCTGACACTTATAATAGTGTTAACAATGTATCATATTGTCTTAGTCAAACATTTAGTAACTTTTGGCAAAGGAAATATTAAGTGCAACCATTTTGAATTGTTTTCCTTGTGTTCTTTCTTTCTTCGTTTGAGAATCCGTGTCCCTACAACCTCCAATGTTTTCAGGGCTAGTGCAGTTAATTTTCTAGTTTAACAGTGTTCTTCCCATTATTTGATATACCCTGTGTTTTCTGCAAGAAAAAGCCACCAAAACTGTTGAGTTCCATCAGTTCTCTCCTCCTACCAGCCTGCCCCAGTTTCTGCAAAGTACAGAGCCTATTAAGAGAGAGGGCATACTGGACTCAGATCAAGGGAGTTGAGAGAGATTGTGAGGCCACAGAAAAGAAGTGGGGCTCAACCCCCCTTCAGAGTTCTCATTTCTTCCACCTTCTTTCCATCTCCATGACTGCTGCTCATGCATCTTTTATAAATAGGTACTGATTTATATTGACCATTATACAAAGTTGAATGGGGAGAAAGGACAGAATGTGGAGGAGCAGGTGACTGGGGGGAAGATGTGAAAGAACAGGGCTGGCTAGGGAAGGGTACTGAGAGGATAATATCAACATTGATAGCTGTCCAGATTGAGAAATAGCTAATAAAATACGTAACTGGAAAAGTCTTCCAAATTAAAACTTGATTGGATTTGAGTTAATGTTGCTCTAGTACAACTCCAACAACCAAAGCATGTGAATGATAGCTGGCTTATCTGGTGTTTTCCTTGATTTTTTTTTCTAATTGTATTTGTGGAATTTGCACTTGGGCAATCTTAAGTGCTCATCAACACTTAACACTTCTATCAGTTTATATTTCTCAGGGATGTAATATTTTTGCTGACAAGTGAGTAGGAGGTAGTTCTTAATTAAGAGACTCTCAAGTAGGCTTGGAAGCATTAGATTTTTATCAGTAAATGTCAGTAAACATTGAGTTCACCATTCACACAAACTGACAAAAATATTTCCATCAATAATAATTAACATTTCCAGATAGGAAAAGTAAGAAATGCTGCTTGAGAACTGATTTAAGGAATTTTACTTTGTATATTTTGACATGTGATGTTGACAGTTTGGGTGTTGTTGGTTATAGAGCTTTTAACTCTTCCAATCTCAATACCTACTGTCATTAAATGTTTGATCCCCTCACTGACTGACTCCATAAATTCCTCCAACTGTGGAAATTTAAAATTGATAAAAACTAAAAAAAAAAAAAAGCTTAAAAATAAACATTGCTAGTATCTGCTGAAATTATTAAAAAATCAAATTCTGCCAAGCCTACTTACAGTATTTTCCAGCTGAGATTATTCATTTTGCAATGTTATTGCTGATGTAAGAATCTGCCAGTTAGTAGTTAACAGGTGACGTGCTGGCTCTTAAACTAATAATTAATGACTGGCTTGATTAACTTGTTGCGAATAGCCTGGATAACTGACTAGAGTAAACAACTTCTTAGACACTGGCTCATTTTCCTGGGCATAAGTGCAGATTGGACTCTCTTTGGATAATGTACTGGTTGTTGCACTCCATGACAGTTGCCTTTTTGCAATTTTTCTGCTATTAAACTAATCTGAAGGTGAATATGATGTCCCAAGGTCCTGTATAAATAATCTTGGCATTTGTAAATGGCTACTAAATTAACACTAGAAAGAGAGACTGTCTATTTTTAATCTATGTGACATGTCTTACTTTCCTTCCAAAGGTGCCTCACTCTTATGGAAGAGAGAAGCATACAGTTTAAACATGTTTGGGTTTAATTTTCATTTTCTTTACTTTTTGGCGTAAACATACTGCAGAGCTTGAAAATATTTTCATTTCCTACCAGGTTCATCCTGGTTGCTAATGAAGCACAAGCCAACATGGTTAAAGTTTTGTTTTCCAGCATTGTGGATGCAAACAGAAAAAGCTGTTGCCTTATAGACATTTACATTGTAATCCGACAGCAGGATATCTCTGCGTTGGAAAAAAAAAAACAACCCACATAATTTGCTACCAGAAACTTGTATTTTCAGTTCTTTACATCAATTTCTGCACATAAACATTTGGGTCAATTTCTGCCACATCTATAACCTCATTGGATGGTGGGGGTAGGAGTGAGTCAGGGAACACTGGCCTACAGAAAATATCCTTTAACATTTTGATTTTTCAAGATAGAATTTCCCCCATCAAATCAGCCAAATGGCTTTCCAACTCTCAGCTGTCTGTTCCCATGTATCTAAACATCCTTGCTTGCATTTTAGCTTGAATATATCAGAAACAGCTTAATGGAGGGCAACACAATAACTCTTTTTGATAGTATAATACCGTGCTGTCTAGAAAGTTCTCCATGAATACTGTTTCAGCTGTAAAATTAACACAAGGGTCCTCTCTACACTGCAAAAATGGTGGCAGTCTAACTATACTGTAACAGTTTTATCCTGTTTGGATAGAAAAAATCCACACCCACATTAGGGAACCAAGCTTTCACCCTAGTAGATACCAAGTCTAAAACATGATTCTCTAAGATAGGTATCATATCTGTTCACACAGGCATGGAAAAAGCATTAACATAAGTGGGCCACAACCATGATCTGACTGATATAAATGTGGCTATTTTCATATTTAGATAGGGCCAAAGTTGTAAATGTACTGGATCATCCAAATAGTCCAAACCTGCGTACCAGGGAATGAAAGTCTTCCTATCCTTATCTAGCACAAGAGGGTACAAGTGGCTATGTTGACCCTTAAAATGAAGACATGAATGCAGAGGGAGAACATGCAGTTTGGTTGTGGCTTCAAGAGGGGACAAGATTAAACTCAAAGCGAATTTAAAACAGGGATTTCTAAATGGAAACGCTAAGATGAATACAACGGTAGTGATCAACCATGCCCATAGCTTTTATTGTAGGAAAATTGCTGTAATGACTGCCAAACACCCTGAGCTTCCTCACTTAATTAATCTGACTTTCAGACTAGACTCGTATGTCTGAGCATTTGTTTTGGGTTTTGAAATGAAATACTGTTAACAATACGACTGTCACTAAATAGTATCTGCAGAATTATACATCATCATTTCCTTATGTGGGTGTTTTTAAAACAGTATGAAAGGCCTGTGATTATCCAAGATTCTTGGAGGCTGATCAACAGAGGAATTGGGCATACCACAAGAATCTCCAAGAGTGTTATTGCCATTGAAGATTTCGAAACCATTGATGCTGGCAACTATATTTGTACAGCTCAGAACCTACGAGGACAAACCACAGTAGCCACCCGTGTTGACCTGACCTGATATGTGGAGTCTGTGGACACAGAATGAACAAACAGTATGTTATTGGACACATTAACCCTTTAGTTTCTTTTTATTAATTCTGAGATGGAGGTTTCTGTTAATATCTCTCTCCTCATGTCCTTACATTCCACTTCCATTACAGAGCAGTGGTCCAGAGCAGAGATCCTAATGCTTACCAATACTCAGGAGAATTGGATTGAAACCATATATTAAACCTTTGTAGCCTGATTATGCATGTGGCTCCCAAGTGCTCCTAATACAGTGATAACTCTTTGTCAGGGAGAGTCTATATACAAATAACTTTTATGTTAGGTAAATATAACTACCTGTAAAAATGTTGCTTGTGCGTTATTTTCATGAATGCTGAGAGGAGGATATAACTACTTTTTAAGTAGACCCACCAGCATAGATATATTTTCTTCTTTGTCGTGGTGGTGATTTTAACATTTTAACACATTGTACATGCAAAAAATATTAAAACTTAGTCATGATTCACTTGTTATAGAAAATTAGTCAACAGCGATTACTCTTCTCTGGTTTAGTAGACGTGGATTAAATTTCTTTACTGAATAGTGACAAAATTGTATAAGTGTGTGGTTTTACTGTTTACTCTCATACCTGAGAGATGGTTTGGATTGAGTACATACTAACTTTAAATTGTGGTAGCACTGAACATTTTTTAAAGGGAGGTACCTTAAAAAAATTATAATTAAAAGGTAAAATATTTTGCATTTTTGTCTTAGAATATTTCCTGTTGTATATCTTGCTCTAGCCCCAATGTAGTTAATTTTAAAATGCCCACCCTCTTTAGCATGGGAATTTAACTATTGCTACATAGTAGAGATATGACTTGGCATTTATAAGCAATCTTTCACAGGAGAATATAAGCAGAACACATTGATTTACAGTACTGATTGAGAAAAGATCCCGTAGCAGCCAGGTTGGTAACTACCTTTACTGAATTAAGTGAATTTACTCCAATCTTAGTATAAATGAAACACCTGAATCAAAAATGTAAACAATCTGTAGACCTAGGTAATTTAGTAGAGAGAGAAGCTGCTAAGCTTCTCACTATGGAATGAGTTGCCAAAAAGCAGGCTGTATAATAGAATAGAAAAAAGAAACAGCCAAAGTTAGGTTATCCCATCATAATCAACACTGATGGTTATGACGTTGTTCAAAAGTGACATTTCAATAGCTGGTGCCTTCCTCGGAGCCCACACAGACTGATATAAAGCTATAAACCAGCAACACAAGAACCACCCAGTAACATAACTGATTACAGTTGATCAGGATTAACCAAGAGTTGTATTAAACAAACAACATTTACATCAGCAAGAATATAATTGTTTGTACAGTGGAAAAGCCCACCCCTTAACGAGGAATAAAAATCATCACTATAGGATAATTAACAACAAATTAAGTCAGAGGGAAGGATGGGACATTTCAGTTAAGCAGTAGTGCTTTGCTTTTTTCAATCAATGAACGGCAGGAAGGAAACCCTCAACTGCCTGAGGAAGAAGAGCTCTATGTAAGCTCTAAAGCGTGTCTCTTTCACCAACAGAAGTTGATCCAATAAAAGATATGATCTCACCCACCTTGTCTCTCTAGTAACATTGATGGCTACTGCCATCTTGGCAGACTAGTCACACCTGTAAATTGGACATTAATATTACAAACAAAATACCATTTAAATACAAAAATTGGACCGTACAACTCAATTCACCATCTCAGAGAGGATAGTGCATAAGGGATATCCACCAAAGGAGAATATGATAATGAAAATACAAAACAATAAGATGCATCATCTCATCAGGAATGCTAGTTTGTAATCTTCATTCAGATCAGCTAGTGACATAAGTCTTAATTAAATGCACCCCTGCCCCATCCCCTTTTCTAGTGGAAGGGAGCTGTTTGATTAGACTGGCAGGGGAGAGATAACCCCCTGCCCTGAGTCCTTCTGCACACCCCTCTCAGAAATGCAGTTGAAGTTCATGGCCAGGTGGAGGGGGAAAG